ATTGCCATAGTTTTTGAATAATAAGTTTTCCCTGTACAATTAGTGGATTGATCACACCCAGGGGGTCAAACACAGAAGAAATGAAAGATAAAATACTGCGTTTAGTTAAAACAGCAGGTTCTTGTATATTGTTCATACGAATAAGTAAGAGGTCAGACAGAGGGTTCCATTTTAATCCTAGTATGTTACTAGTATGCCACTTATATTAAAATCAATTTTGTAGGAAGAAGTTTGTGATATCGTAGATAAAAATTCAGAAGAGTTGGATTGCCATTAATGAAGCTTAAATCCTTGTTTACCCAGAACAGTATTAAGCTCCGAATATATTGCTTCTAGAGATGAAAAATCGTTAGTACCTGACAAAATATCGTCCATATAGGTTTGTCTAAGTAGAGCATATCGAGCATTAGGGAACTGAGGATATCTCTCAGCGATATCCTTTAAGACACGCGTAGCCAAATACGGGGCGCAATTTTGCCCAAAACTAAGACTGGAAAGTTGAATACAGGTGAAGGGATCAGAAGAATTTTCTCTCCATAAGAAATTTTGGAAATGACGTTGCGATGGGTTTATATCTATAAATCTATACATCATTTGAATATCAGCACAAAGGACAAATTTGAAACAACGGAACCTACATAATATGTCAAAGAGATTGTCCTGTACTTGGTAACCTTTTGAAGTTAGGTCATTTAAGGACACTCCGGTATCAGTACGGGCGCTAAAGTCAAAAACTACTCTCACAGGCGTTGAACTGTGTTTACGTATTAGAGCTCTGTGGGGAATAAAATATTTAAATTCATTAGTAGGATGATTATAAAAAGATAAAGGGATTACTTGAACGTGATTTAAAGTAAAATATTATTCATCTATAACATTCTTATAGTTTTGAAATAAAATTGAATCACAATTGAATTTTTTCTCAAGTGAGATAAATCTTTGGCGTGCCATGCAAAAGGACTGCCCCAATTTTTTGGGCTTATTTTCAAGGAAGGGCATATCGACCTAGTAACGACCTGAGGGTAAAATAATAGTGGTATTTTTGAGTATTTGTTCTGCAAATTCTTCGCTAGAACAATGATTTTTTGGTAGTGGAATAGTTTCTAATACCTAGAAACTTTCCATGCGAAGGGTCAACTCATCTTCTCTTTCGGATTGAGCATCATTAATTGTAACAAAAGAATGAGAAACATTATTTTGGTTTGAGGAAAAATTTAACCGGCTCCTAGGTATAGGACCGGCGAGCACATAACCCAGATACGTTTCAACTAAAGAGGGCAACCTAGGTCCCATATTAATAATATTAGATTTAAGTAAATTAAAATGAATATCAGCACCAAGAAGCAAGTTTATAGGCCCAGTTTTAAAGAAAAATGGATCGGCAAGTTGGGGTATTATACATTCATGTAATTTTAGAACCTCAGGAGATATAGAAAATTGAGGGAGATTATTTGTTATTTTGTTTATAACAGAACAAGAAACGTTAAAACTAATTGATGGGTTAACACGAAAACTAAATTGTATATCTAGCACTTCTCTACTTTTAGCACAATTGGTACTACCTAACCCAGAAATATTTACAAGTTGTGTTCGAGAGGACAGCTGCAAATTTTTTGCAAATGTGCTTTCAATGAGACTCCTTTGACTAGCAGAATCTAATAGAGCTCTTGCCTCCATTTGTTGACCATTAGAACATCTGATATTTACAAGAGCTGTAGGTAAAAGAACTATGTTATCACAAATAGATACCGTATGGAGTGAAGCTTGCTGAGATGAATGATGAGCATGTTCAATAAATTCATTATTTACAGGGTTCATATTAGGAGACAAAGATTTATTTACAATATGTACATTAGACTGTTCTGTTCCATTATTATTTCCTCTAAAACGAGAGGTCATATTTATATTTGGGACGTGGTTATGAGTCTGCATACTAGGGGATGAGTTTGATTGATTATCAAAATGTAAATAAGTGTGGTGTGGTTTTCCACAAGTGGAGCATCTTTTTAAGGATTTACATTGAGGTATTGCATGAGTGCTACTAAGACAATTTATGCAATATTTCTTGGATTTGACAAATTGATATTTTTCTAGAGGTTTTAAAGTTAAAAATTTGGAACATCCATAAATAAGATGATTAGACTCTTTTTAATAAAAACAATTAGTACGGAAGTTGGAAGATTGACGTTGAAGGTTATTTACATTAGAAACTAATGAAACCTTAGTTTTTCGGCTGTCAGTCTGTCTGGAATAAGATTTGGAAGAATGGGGTTAAAAAAGATTTAAATTTTTTAAGACGGATTGTCTTTTATTTAAAAATTCAAAAAATTCTTCTGCAGTAGGAATGATTCCTGTATCACGCTCACTTTCAAATGCTTTTCTAGAATTGTAGTCAAGTTTTTGCTCTAGCAAAAATATAATTAAAGATTCAAATTTGATTTGAGGAGTATGACCTGTATTATTTATTAAATCAAAAGTTTTGCGCGAGATAATATAGAATTCCTTCAAATCATTTGCTGTGCAATTTGATAAACTTTTTTGTTCTATCAAAGTTTGGTACAAAGAAATTAATAACTTAAAATTATCGTCATATGTCTTTTTTAAAATATCTAAAGCAACGTTTAAATTCTGATTAGTTAGGCTCAGACTTGAAATTAAATCTAAAGGAGGACCGCGCAGTAAGCTTTTTAGATAATAAAATTTTTCCCCGTCAGTTTTTAATTTAGAATTATTCAGCACTACCGCTGAAAAAAGATCGAAAAATGAGGGCCATTCTTGAGCCAATCCCGTAAAAGGTTTAATGTTGATTTTTGGCAAAACAACATTAGAGGATTCGATAATATCACTATTGGATAATGTTTTTTTAATATTTTCAATTTTGGATCCAAGTTGCGCAATAGCAATCTCGAAACGATCAGATATTAAATTTTCTGCATTGAATTCGACATCGCTAAGATCTTCAAGTGCAATTATATCACTTATATGATTTTTGTAACTTTCGTAGGTACTTAAAAGATTTTGTAATTTTACATTTAATATACAGATTTCCTCTGATCCATCAAGATTTTTGATGTAGGAGTCGAGTCTAGAAAGTTGAATTTTACAACCTTTCCTTTTATTCTTTAAAGCGATTAGGTCCATTTTAAAATGCAAAAGAATTAACAGCCACTAATCAGAAAATAAGGTATGCACTACGCAACAAATATATGTTAATAGAATATAAGCAAACTGGTAAAATTCAAATTAATTAATATTCATTAAAAACCTAGAAAATATTAGACAGAAAATAAAATATTACCAGATAAAATAATAATATCAATAATATTACAATACAGATATCGATTATAAAAATAAAACAATAACCAACAGTTCAAAATATTATAAAGAGAAATATAAATACTCAATATAGATCAATACTCAAATGCAGGTAGTCGGGTACCTATAATCGTAAAAATAACTTCCTAAAATTACAAAAATGTTCACAAAACCGTTTTAAAATAAACTTGAAAACATCAGGAAGTGTTTACTAACACCCAACCCAAAAATTTCCTAGATACAGGTAGGTAGAAAGATAATATATTCTATAAAGATCTTTTGGCAAGGCTGATAAATTAGGTACTAAATGCCGATAAGTTAATGTTTTTAACACAAACAACAGATGTTGTTGGATGTTGTAGACAACAATGGTTGTTCGATGGTGTAGATTTGTAGATGCAGGTACTCCAGTACTTAGGGTTGAAGAAGTCTCAACAGGGTTGCCGGTTCGCAAATATTTCTGGAAACCGAACACTCCCGACAAAGTTGTAAAATTATATTGTCCTCGGTAAAATCACTGTCACTGTTTGAGTTTAAAAAAAAAGATTGTTCAGGTGCACTCGATGGTGATTAGTGGCATACGTAAAGAAATTGATAGGACAATTGTATGTAAAAAGCAATAGATAGAAAGGTTATAGAATTATTATTAGAAGAATGTCACTCTGACAAGAAATCCGGTTTGATAAAGACCAAAACAAATGTAGGGGAAAGGATGAGGTAGCTGGTTCGATAAATTAAAAGTAAATAAGTATTTGAAAAATTATGATCTCACCTTCCTACATTTCGTAGATAAAAAATAAATTAAACCTCGAAGGAGCAGCGACCCATAGGTCGCAAACTTGCGGATATGTAATTATGTAGTGAGCAGTAAAATAGAAAATGAAATAATTAAAATAAGAATAAAGCTAGAAATATTTTTATTGCATTATTTACAAAAATAAATAAAAAAGCGAAATACGAACGCGAAATTAATAAATTTATACGTGAAATTCTCAAAATACTTCACACATGCTCTTCCAGTAACATCAGGTTCTTTTCAATGTGTAATAAAGGAGGACAAGGGAAACTCAACAAAATTTGACATATTTTCATATTCCGCTTAAAAGTAAATATTACCAACTACATCCCCAATGTTGAACGTATGTAACCCCTTTGCATCCCATCATTACGTCAATTTAATTAAAACTCAACATAAGTCTTAGATTACAAGCATAAAGTGTAATTCCACACAATGAAGGAGTTTAAAACAGTAACATCTTTTGATTTACACATTAGTCGCTTCTAAAATTAACTGAAAAGATAAAATCAAATTTAGTTTTACCACCGTATACACACTTTGAACCTTTTCTGCTTCTTTTATTACTATGTCTAATTAAAATAATCCTTCGGTAATTATCTAAATATTTCATTTACCTCATCGACTCAATTAAATGGATGCTATTTTGACACCTCTACACGATTATTACACAGTCTTACATGACACATTGTTAAAAATATTATTTACTATTTTTTGATGAAGCTAGGAATAATCAGCAAGAACGTGATCTTAAAAATCATGAAGATATTATAGCAACTGCTCCAAAAATTATTGCCTTTTACTAATAAGTGTATGATTGTTAAATAAATATTAATTTGAGTTAAGTCTTTCAAACTTTTTATAATAAATGAACGGATTCTTTTTTTAGCGGGAATGTCATCTCCGGTCAGTCAGCGTCCTTCATCCCACCACTCCCATCGAAGCTCCACACACGTTTCTTCGAATACACATGTGACCGTGACCCCACCTCCAGCCACCCCGACACACCATCGAGCTAATAGCAGCGGCGGCGCAACTGTGAGTTCCGGTATGTCGTTAACGTCACCGGAAAGTGACACCACCAGCCTGGTGACGGGTCAGTATATATCAAAAACGAGTCATTCGGTTTCATACAAGGATTTTGTTAAAGGTCCTTCGATTCTCACACCTATGACACCACCTGGATCTCCGCACTCCAGTACGACTAGCCATCACTGGCGATCGAGGCTGACTACGATTAAAAATAGCTTCTTAGGATCTCCAAGGTTTCATAGAAGGAACAAATTACAAGGTAAGACATAAACACCCAAATCAAAGTTTATTGACTATTATCACGGATTAAAATATGGTTTCAGAAGAAAAAAAAATTAAGCATATACACTCAGGTGCAAAAAAATCGACCCATTCCTTATTTCTTATTTATTTGAACTTGTATAATTTTGGAGACATTAAATTACGTACGTGAATTTAGATGCACCCTCGTATACCAGAAATAAAATAATATTGTTAATATTGGTTTTTATATTTCTTAAAATAAATTGGTATTTCAGGTTTTTGTCAAAAAGGGTCTGAAGTAAGTAGATATTTATTGAATGCTGTTTTTAGTTTAACAAACATACTAGTGTAGTGATTTTATTTTCAAAACGTGTTATATTTTTATTTAATTATCCTTCCTAAAAGTCTCCTAAAACTCCGACAGATGCTGCAAGGGCGGTGACTTTAGTTCAAGATGGTCGTAGCCAATATTATGCAGCTGAAATGTTGGGTGTTAGTCGATCTTCGGTTCAAAGAGCAGTTCGGCATTTTAGCGACACCGATAACTTCACAAGAATACCAGGATCAGGTCGTAGAAGGGTAACATCCGAAAGAGATGATCGATTTCTGGTCTCTTCATGTTTGAGAAATCGGCATCTAACTTCAGTTTTGAACTGGCAAATCGGCTGAGCGAAGTGAGAAATGTGGATGTAAGCAGATGGACAGTTCGTCCACGACTTGTAGAAGGTAATTTAATATCCAGAAGGCCAGCCCTATCTCCGATACTATCCATAGAACATCGCAGAGCTCGCCTTGCTTTTGTAAGAAAACAATAAAACTGGAGTGATGCAGATTGGAGCAATGTATTGTTCCCAGATAAGTCCAGATTTTATGTAAGGTCACCAGACGGCCGAGAAAGGGTTTGGAGAAGACACGGAGAGCGATATTTTCAATGTAATACTGCGGAAAGAATAGGTTATCGGGGGGGCTCCGTTATGGTTTGGGCTGGTATCAGTTCAGAAGCTCATACTGATTTAGTTATTGTAGATAGAGGTTCTATGACTGCTCCTAGATACATGACAAGTATTTTAGATCAGCATGTGGTACCTTTTGCTTCTTTCATTGGACCTAATTTTATTTTTATGGACGACAACCCGCGTCCTCACCGTGCTAGAATCGTCAGCCAATATATAGAGGAGGTGGGAATTGTCCGTATCAACTGGCCAGCTTGCAGTCCCGATCTCAATCCCATAGAACATCTATGGGATATGATGGGAAGACGTCTTCGAGCACAAGTATCCTGTAGAAACAACTTGGCTGAACTTACAGCGGCTCTTCAAGATATATTGGACCAATTGAGGTTAATTACCTCAATGTCTAGACGTGTACAGGCTGTTGTAAGGGCCCGAGGGGGAAACACTAGATATTGATTTATTATCAATGTTTTACTTAATTTCACAAAGTTTTGAATATTTTTGTATTTTTGAAATTTGGCGTATGTCTCTATAAATAAATGATTTTTTTGGATAATCTGTAAAAATTATTTTAATCTAAAATATACTTTTACATATATACCTGATTTATAACTAATATCTTCATACGTTTTATTTTTTAGCAAATAATACCCATGGATCGATTTTTTTGCACCTGAATGTATAATACCTATACAAGTATCTATTATCTACTAAAGAATTATATGTGGTTTTATAATAATTTTTTGTAACGTATTAGGAAATTCTCACCAGATGTTAGCGGCTCCCGAACTGCTGCGTTTATGAAATATACGGCTTTTTGTATATACAGTATAGGTAGAAGTTTATGGTCGGTATGGACTTACGTGAGATGGAGTGAGAAACACCTGTTTAAAAAGAGAGAGGTATATTAGGTCCGCCCTTTATATCGCCGAATTTGAATAAGCTAAAATAATAAAAAAGGGGAAATTCAACGGTACCAAACTTATTGGTTTTATTTGACCTGTTGTCTTTTTAGCATTTGAAGAATGTTTTAAAATAATCAAATTTGAGCGAAATAGACTTAAATGACAGCTTACTGTTTTTTATTGGAAATATGCCACAATTTTACTTTACAATAAGTGTTATATAACATTTTGATTTCCACTTCAGAAATCGTTTTATATAAATAAAATTTATTAATGTTTCGTATTTTAAGTACGATTTCGGAATTAAAAATCTAAACATCAAAATAAGCTTATTTTAAAGTCACATTGTGCCTTATTTCCATTAAAAATAATAAACTGCATATGATGCCACAATAAACAAAATCTTCATACAAAATTATTTGGCAACGTCTCGTCTCCCGATCTCTCGATTCGTCAAAGCACCGAATCAAAGTAAGGACAGAGGTAACGAGTAGAGGTGGGTCGTTGACGTTTTTATCGTAAACCGATTTTCGTAAACAAGTTACTGTGATTGATTAACAGTAGTTTCAAATAAGAGAGTACCTACATAAAGAAACATAATGGTTATTATTGTTTATGTGTATATTTATTAAAGTGAAAGAAACTAATGAAGGATATATTTGTTATAACTTGAAATGATTGAACCATATGCGAAAACGGGATATTGCACACAGGCCGACCGCTGATTGGTGTCGGTAAAATGCCGGTGAGCGGACATTCACTGCCACTGTATCGCCGGCACGACCAGGACGTATTGGCGTACATGACTAAATACAGTATTGCACACACATCAATTTTTTATCGGCCAATTCGACTGATCGGTGAAATTTTAGGTACATTTTAATTTTAATTTTTGGTAGTGCTTGGTATATACTTACGATTGCAATAGATGATTTTCTTGATAATGATGTCCTTATTTTGTTAGTGGAGGCAAGACCTAAAGAAGCTAAAATACTTACTATCATCACGCGTTAGTTCTTCAAAAAGGGTGTAGAATGTTCCGGTGTTTTCTCTGTTTTGATTGATAGGATGAATCCACTACTTGCGTTAAATCCTACGGCGCTTAATACGGCGATACAAATATGTAATAACAACAACTCGTTTAGGATTCATTATTATTCAACAACCTCGTGTTACGACAACAAAGCAACTCATTGTTTGATCGGTAAAAATCTGGTGCGTTTGCAAGTATCTGCTACCAGTAAAATATCGGCCGATTTTATGCTGGCCGTTCAAAACCGGTGTGTGTACAATTACACTTAGGTTACCTGCGGTAAGATTCTTGCAGGCACCGTACCATAACAATCACCGAACAACCCTTTAAGTGTGGCAATATAAAAATTATTACAAATAAAAAAAATCTTTTTAAACAATAAAAGCAATTATTATTTTTTTTAAATGTCTATCTTGACTTAAAATTTTAGACACAGAAAAAGTTACTTAAACCTTACTAAACTTCACTCTGCATGTCTGGGGTCGGGAACTGGAATCATGCTGGAACTATACTGGGGGTACATCCGGGATGACAATCAGGGATAAGAAGATGAGGGCGGAAGCCAGCACCGGCTGGAACACAACCTTAAAAACTCGTCTCCTTCAAAGACTGGAACAGGCACAGCACAATGGCATTATGAGGCCATATTCAAAAACTAATGTAAAACTGCTCAATACCAAGTATCCAACTGCTACTGTCACTTCATGCTACATTTCCATGACAAGAAAAGCAAAACGAAAAGATTTCGAATTTGAAAATAAATTCGGACTCCTACAAAACTGAACACGACTTGATCAGCGGCCGGCTTTACCGAGAGTAACGAAATTATCCTCAGAAATTGATCGCATAACTTAAAATCACAACGGAAATTAAGACGTAGATTATTAATTTGAAAATGCAGTACTTTGAGCGGCATAAATCAAAGAATATCGAGCAAAATACACAACCACGAAATAAATAAACAACTCTAAAATGGTTTTTATTACTTGGCGACGCTGAAAAGAACGAAATAATATTTGGGTTTTAACACGTACGAATAGGATACTAAAATGCATTAAAAATATTCTTCGATTTTTCAAACATATATGAGGGGATTTCAATATATTACATATATGAGGGGATTTCAATATACACCAAAGAATCAATAAAATTGCAAATGCTACATATTCATCAATACCACTGTGGAACGGATAGCCTCTTCGATCTTGGTCATTTTTTTAACATGTAATAGATGAAGTTCTACCTAGTTTCCACGTTTTGGATTGGCCGTTCGGGAACTTTGTTATGTTGTAATTGATACTTTAAAAGCCTTTCTGAAGATAACGTACTTTTTTTGAAATGTGTATTTTGCCGAATTGTCGAAAAAAAAAAAGACTTTTTATTTTATCTATTTGTACACGACAGCTTTTAAGGCGTCCACAATAAATTTAACGTATGAGCAAAACAATTTAAATATTTTCATTCCAAAATATCTTTAATACCTTTGATCATATTTGAGGCATTATCAGTTACCGCAAAATTTACTTTTCGTATTAGACCCTACTGATTAATAATTTCACTAATTTCAAAAGCGATGTTTTCTGAATTATGGTTTCCAGAAAAATGGCATCAGCCTAATAAAACAGTTTTAAATTCTAAATTTTGTGTTAAATATTGTCCTGTTATTGCGATGTAACTCTCAATTACTCCAGATGTCCAGAGGTCAGTAGTAATACAGATATTTTCTACTTCTTTAACATCTAATAACTTGCTCAGTTTTTATATAACATTCCTGAAGTAATGAACCTGACAAAGTTTTTTTTTGGTGGCGGTTTATATCCAGGAATCCACTCTGCAAACTGTTTAAAAGCTCTTTCTTCAACTATAGAAAATGGATGAAACGAGTCTTTGCATATGTTTAGTAAATCCATATCTATTTATTTCTTTTGTTCTAAACTAATATTTTTATTAATGAAAGTATCCATCACGTTTTGACGCTTGGATGGCGGTGGCAGTATGTCAGTACTTGTAGTGGAAGAAGTCGAAACGGACAGAAATGCATCAGGGGAAGTTTCAATCATTGCAATATTTAGAAAGTGGACCATAAAAGCTGCATCTTCTACAAATGTGAATTTTTTGAAAATAAAATTATTATGG